TGGGGAGGGAGGGGGAGATGGGACAGGGAGGTGTGAATAGATAGACAGACAGACAGATGAAGAAACACAAACACAACAAGATACCGAGGGGTGGAGAGAGGAGGGGAGGGAGTGAAAAGGGGAGGCAGAGGGATGGCGGGGAGGGGAAAGTAAGATGGAGAGAGAGGGGGGGGAGGAGAGAGTGGGAGAGACAGACAGACAGACAAACAATCAGACCTACAGATAGACAAACGGATAGACAGAGGTATTTTTAGAATCTGCATAAGGAGCTCTTTATGTGTTAGGTCAGACTGTGTTGAAATTCTTCACTGCACATCTCATTTTTTTGCTACTTTTGAGATAAATGGGGGAAAAAAACCTGTTTCGTTAGACTATTTATTATCATCTTATAATGGTACCAACATACTTAGGGAACCTGAACAAATGGGTAACAGGGAAAGATCAGGGAAACGTAGCTTTTTTGAGAGCATCCGAGCAAAGGAATGAATGGAGAATCATGATCGCCGATGTCTGTCGCAGATCTGGCACTGGATGATGATGATGAATAATGGTAAAACTTGCCATGCATGTTTCTTTCGTGACTGCCAGCGCATTTTTGCTTTTTGGTTTTACCAAAAGATAACATAACATACCGCCAAACAAAATAAAAGGCCATAGTTGTATTTTGGCACAACTCTGAGTTATGGCATTTTGCTAGGGCTGTGATGAAATGTAAAATTCTAACACTCTCTCTGTTTCCTCTGTCCTCTCTCTCCTCCCCCTTCTATCTCTCTCTCCTCCCCCCCCCCTGATATCTCTCTCTCCTCCCCCTTCCCCTCCCCCTCTCTCCCCCCCCCCTCCTCTCTCTCTCTCTCTCACTCCTCCCCCTCCTCTCTCTCTCTCTCTCCCTCCCCCAGGTTCGTCTGATGAAGCAAGTGAAGGAGGAGGTAGACAAGAACAAGACGAACGAGGCGCGGCGCTCCAAAGAGCTGACTCAGCTAAAGAAGGAACAGCTGAGGAGGGATAACATCATCAAGACTTTGGAGAGGCAGACATTGCAGAAAGACGCTGTGCTCAGACGGAAACAGGAGGAGGTGAGGAGGGGAGGGGGAGGGGAGGGAAGAGGGGTTGATTGGGAGGGAGAGTAGGAAGGAGGAGGGAAGAGGGTTAGAAGAAAGAAGGAGGTGGGAGGGAGGAGAGACAGCATCATCAAAACTCTGGAGAGACAGACCATGCAGAAAGATGCTGTGCTCAGGCGAAACAGGAGGAGGCGAGGAGAGGGAGGGAGGAGGAGGTGGGAGAAAGAAGAGGGGAGAGAGGGGTTGATGGGGGATCGGGGAGGAGCGAAAGATGAGAGGAGGAGGGAGGGAGGAGAGACAACAGCATCAAAACTCTGGAGAGACAGACCATGCAGAAAGACACTGTGCTCAGACGGGAACAGGAGGGGGG